TAGCATTTGATAGAATAAAAAGCTAGCATCACTACCTTAAGACCATAGATCCCCTCCAGTAACCAACAACAATGGTACTCTCCTTCTGAAGATTTTGTAATCAAGTAAAACATGCAGAATCACAGATCACAAAATGCATATGAACAACTGGACAGGCAAGAAATGTTTCACAAAAAGTTTGGCAGCATGGAAAGAGTCTTAATCTAATCACCATTGTAACTAGCACTCAGTGAGCATCTTAAAAGTAAATGTTAATCACATGTTAAAGACATATACTAGCTAATGTTCAGAAATAGCTTGTGCGAATAATGTACCTCACACATCTAAAGACACCACATTTCTCACGTATTATATTTCACTTTCAGCATTTTAGAAACTGCTATCCGGGAAATACACTTGCGGTTCACACTTCATTCAGTCATATCACAGCATTTCAGATGAGATTAAAGCGCTAACTAAGGTACACTCGTCTTGAAGGTGTTGTCATCAATTGAAACATGTTGGATCAGGATTTTCTCCATTTACCACCCACTTGAAGGGGAACACTTCTAAAATCTCATTCATATAATCAACATCATTTTTACAGCCAGCCATGAATGTTTTAAAAAAAGGTGGGGTACCTTTAATAATATTTCTTGCTTTTCAGAAACACTCAAAATCGTCAAATCATGATCAAACAGCCACCATACAAGAAATGGACCCCTACAATTGGGCAGCATATGAAAGTCCTAATCTACGAGAAGTGATATTGGGTTGTTGTTAGTCAAGACTAAAACTTACAAGTGAGAGTGGTTCTCGTTCTACAGTCAATACTAAAACATAGAAGTGAGAGTGGTTTTCTTTCTACAGACACGATTAAGACATACAAGTGAGAGTGGTTTTCTTTCTACAGTACTAAAACATACAAGTGACAATGGTTTAAAACATAGTGGGCATGCATACTGTGTGCAGTTCAAATTTTCAAATTTCCCCCTTAAAAGATCTCTCCACACACAAAAGATTAGGAAGGTCTAGAAATGCAGTAAAACAGAATTTCTCTAACAACCAGTTTGAATCCATATCAAAGTACTAAATACTAGTATTTTATCAAATTGCACAGATGAACCATCAAAACTTCAAAAGAAAAAAAAAGAAAAAAAGCCAGATATGAATACAAAGTAGCGTCGCTAAAAGTAGTATGCATATGTGTAAAGCATACCATTTCAAGTTCTTGAGCCATCAATATACAAGGTCCACACCATGTTGCAAAGAAATCAACGACAAGGGGTACATTTCTTTCTCCTTTTACCAGTTCCTGGACCTCCTGGGCCGACACCTTCTTCTGCGCTCCCCAAAAAAAGAAAGAAAGAAGCTCAAATTCATAATTTAAAAATAAAGAAAGATCAGAGAATTCCTAAAACCAATAATTGTTTTGTTTCAATCTCACTAACTAATAACTATGCTTGCTTGCTTCTATCAGATGCCTCCATAACTGATAAAAGGAAAATAATAAAGTAAAACTCTATATGCCAAGTTGGCTTTCAAACTAAGCCGAATCAAAAGAAAAGTTCCATGCTTTCCCATTTCCCATACAGAGGTAAATCCCAGAATATCAATTCAATAAACTGTAGTCCTTTCATGTTTCCTACATTTTCTCACCAACCAGATAAAGAATTTGAATATACAAACTGACCCATAAAATCATTACTATATCAAGGAGGAAAAACATATGAATTAAAGAAAAAAACCAACAAATAATGGGTAATTGCAATGCTAAAGTAAAGAAGCATTTCTAGGGAGAACTTACCACAAGATAGTCTTCTCTGACATGTTTCCCTTGAGGGGGTCTGCAAAGCAACTTCCTTGTAACTGTTGAGAGTGAAAGCGGTGTGTTCTGGAAAGAAAATAGTGAATTTCGCTGCTGGGTTTTCACGGAGGAGTGAGTAACAAGTTGAGAAGGTGGAGGGGAATGAAATGATAAGACCATGGGAGAGTGACTACGGGTTTTCGTGCTAAAGCCATAGCTATGGGTAGGAGGAGCTGTTTGGGTTTGGAAGAGAGCCATCCTTTTACAGAGCCAAAGCAATCGAAGTAATCTTCTCGTAAATCCCAGATAAACAAAAAAGGCAATCTGGTTGTGGATATAGTGACTGGGCTTTTGAAGCTTCAAAATCCATCGCCAAAGCGCATAAAATTTCTTTTGGGTTTGATTCCTGTGGACTGTAAGTTGAGAAGCAAGCCCACATAAAAGCCTATTTGTACATTCTTTTATTTATTTATTTTAAATCGCGGGTAGTCTCTGTGTCACTTGAAATATATTATTTTTGCCCCTGTTCTAAGTCCATTAATGTCATCTATATCTTCTTATGCCATGCATCAATGTCATTCTTGATGTCAATTAATCATGTGAGAATAAGGATAGAGCTAAGTACATGCTATAAGTGACACGGACTAGCTCGGATTTCTTTTCATGAATATAGTGCAAAATTACCATTCTTAAGCTTATGCCCTCCTAGCCAGCAAAATATATTTTACAAAGTCACATTTTGACATGTATATCTAGTGTAAAATTACAAGGTGACATGAATATATAATACTGCAATAGTTCTTTATTAGGCCAAAACGAGTATGTAATTAATTATCGTTATCATTTGGCCCCTAATAATATAAAATTCTAACTTCGCTTCTGAGTGTGAGGTATGTGACCAACATCAATACTCGTAGGTGGAAGTGTTAAGACAAATTTGCCCTTTAAAAGTTGGTCACCTGCTTTTGATAACAGAAAATTCAACGAATTTGATATCGAGTATGACATTGATGTATGGCATAATAACGGGGACATAAATAGAATTGAAGAAATAGGAACAAAAATGACGTGTTTGGAGTTGTTTCCAATACACATTACCAACTTTCATATTTATGGTCCTTAGCCTACATCAGTTCAAAACTTAAATAAATATATAAAACAAAGAATCCTTGTCTACTTCATGACTTAGACACATCGTATCATTTCACTGATATAGTTATGGCACATTTAGCATAACTACAACCTGTCCACTTATGAATTTGACCTCATGCTGTGTTGCCCTTACATCAACTTGTTCGATGAATAACATGAGAACGTGCTGCTTTCAGAAAATATTCGTTCCACTAACAGAGATGGTCTCAAAGATTAGGAGACATTTTGATGCCATCTATGCTTCGTACTACTATCAGAATGGGATGCTATGTATGTACTTAAAAAAGTTGTTTATGCACCTCTTTTTTTTTTTGTTCTTCTTCTTCTGTTTCAAGTAAAGAGCACCTTTTTTCTTCCATAAGTAAAGTAGAGTTAGACCGGAGTTAGGGTGCTCCACTTTTAGGCTAAAAATTGAACGATGTTGACTTGAGGAAGAAGAAGAATAATAATTTTAGGAGTTAGGGTTTCTGTAGGTTAAACTTGGGTACCTAGTCTTTGAAGTGTGAAGTTTACGTGTTGATTCAATTTCAAGTGAAGCCCAAGAATTAATTGTGGGAGCAAAAATTTACGTGTCAATAACACGATATCACATGGTCATCAAGATGACCACATGAACTAAATTTCTCCTGATTAGGGACAGGAGAAAGTGGAATGCATCGTATCATGCATTAATTAAGAGCAGTAAGCATTATTACTGACGTTCGCTGCCTCCGCCGAGATAGAGAACACTACCACTAGCCACCCAAAACCCTTGTCTATCTCGAATCACAAGTTGAAACGAACCACAAAGATCTGGAGTAGATCTAAAGCAGGAGCTCCAAATCTGCAAAAAGAAAACAAACAAAAACAACCAAACACATCCAACAAACTAACCAAAAGGGAAAAACATCAACAAGAAGCCAAAGGGGAAGCAAAGCAATGGGAAGAGTAGAGAGAGGGGAAGGATTGAGAGAGGAGGGAGGGGAGGAAGCCACCCACCCCAAAAGGTGGGTGGCGGCTAGGGAGATTTTTCTACTGCCTAGCCTTACTAAACCTCCTATTCTCTGCCGGGGTAATAAGAAGTGTGTGCTCCGCTTGAGCCCACATGATACAAGAAGGCCTAGCAATGCCTCTGACCGAGCAAGGCTTACGAAGAAGTCATCCCAGCACAGGCACAAGTGCTTTGCAAGGACAGCACGCCTCTGGCAAAATCAGCGCAAATCCTAAAGATCTGCTTATCAATTACAGCAACAAGAACTAAGGGGACTACAGTCACGCACTTTGTGTAAAAATCTCCCACGTCCAAGTCAAACGGCTAATCGAATTGACGTTCCAATCAATGAGACTTAACACCCCCAATCAACGTTGAACATGCATCTTCTCACGGTGATAAACCACCCAACAAAGAGTCATATTTAAACCACCACCATCTCCTGGAGAAGGTAAATGTTCCTTGAATTGAAAAACCTTATTTTTCTTAAAGCTTACGACTTACTTCGACATCGGAGGCTCTTTGGCTCAAATCACACTAATGTGTCTAAGGACTAACCTTGCCTTTTTTATCTCAATTTCAGAGTACCGAGGTCTTTACATACTATTGGAAAGATTCATTCCCCACACGATTTAAAGATTGAATTTTGAATTTGAAGATACAACTTCATTTAGATAACTAAGTCACACACTTTTCCCCCGATGTAAAATAAGCGAAGATTAATAGACTAATTCATGCATATTTAGGCGATTAGGTACTTTATCCATTTTGGAAACCTAACTCTTTAGACGCTAGAGCATCTCATGGGAAGCTTGAGCAGACTGATGATATAGATTAACTAGGAACCATGATCAAATAATAGAAAAAAACTATGTGTAAATTAAAAAAACTTGCTTGGCATACATACACTCCCATCTACATATTGGAAAACTTACAGTACGAAATCATCATGGAGCAAGTATCTAGATTCCTCAACACTTAGAAGTTAGGTGGACTCAAAGGCTGTCCTTTTCCTCTCGTAAAACTTCCATTTAACATCTTTCATACACTTTTCTCTATATCTCTCATCACGTGAAACATGGGATAGGCAAGTTTTTCTAGGTCTAAACACTGATATTGCTTGCTGAAAGAGAGAACATGTACATTACAATGAGGTAGATATGTTATTGTACCTACAATAACTACTTAATTCGCATTATATATTACATGTTAATTAGTTGACTCTTCCTCACCTTTGCTTCCAAAAGGTTCTCCTTTCTTTTCTCTCAGTGTTACATACTACATAAATTCTATACATTATATATCATACTTACTCACAAACCTGACCATTATTGTTCCTCAACTTCTTCCAATTCTTAAAGAAGAATCAACCCCCTTGCCAACACCAGCCGCAAAGAGCCTTGCAATCTCCAACTGTGTATTGGCAATAATTTCGGTGCGCTTGAGATCCATTTCTCCTCTCTTAGCCTCTGCCTCAACTCTCATCCTCTCTATCTCCCTCATTGTGTCCATTCTTGCTTGCTCTGATCTCACCACAACCTCTGCTAACCATCTTATGCTCTCTGCTATCTCTACTTCCTCCCGTCTTCGCCGCTTCTTTTTCTCTATCTTCCTCTTCATTCTCTTGGACCTTAATTTTTCCTTGTCACTGTAAAGAGCTGGGGTGCTACTGTCTATCTCCAAAGGGTTCTTGTCTGATGCATGGTCTGACAATTTCATCCCCATTCCATCTTCCTGCATGTTAACATGACTGCAGGTTAAATTAACTTAGTAAGATTTACAAACAATCACATACACATTAATAATTTTTTTAAGAACATCTTGGGGAGTACAATTGGTTTACTTGGGCCTTCTAGAGTGCATTGTAACTTCAATTGTTTACCTCAAATGTGTGTACAATTGCACTACAATAATTGGTACTTTAACCTCAAGTGTTTGTACTACAATTTTTCCTGTACAATTACTGCAAAGCTTGTACCTTCATTGAAATTCAGATGCCAAACATGATGCATCCTTATGTTAGGTGAAGTGAAATTAATATCTAAATTAATGCCAACTAACCCTTCTTAATTTATATTCCAAAACAGAGATAGTAATTTCCTCTGTCTGTTCAATTTTGATTTTATGAAGGGCTTCTGCACATGATTCAGTAATTTCACAGCATTTGGACAAAGCATCTGAAATCTTCATTCATATTGAACTATGATGAATTCAATGTCACAATATGATCAGAAATAACAATGTTAAGCTTGAAAAATGTTTATCTGTGAGACCACCAAGGCATTCATGTAGGACATATTGGGTTCCAAGAACATAATATGACTAGGGTAGGGAAACAATTTAATACCCAATTATCTCCAGAAAACAATTGTGAGGGCTAAAAGACAACAATCTTCAGGTAACAAGAAGTGTTTATCTGGTTAATTTCAATTGAAAATTCAAAAAACAAAAGGAAATAGGTGTGAAAAAACAAAACAGAGGTGGGGGGGTCATGTAGACTGACCTTGGCCACCCTATGATCAACACCATTGGATCCATATGAATTTTGGGCAGTTCCTATAGGTTGAGGAGGAGCAGTAGGTGGTGGCTGTGGCGGCAGCGACGCTGATGGCTCCAGTAGCATCAAAGGATGATTGTTCTGAGGCGGCGGAGGATGCAGTTGTACTGGCAGTGGTGGTGGTAGTGGTGGTGGTGGTATAGCTGCAGCTGTTACAGTTGCTGCTGCTGATGCTGCTGTTGGGGATGGCCCACTGCCACGTAGCAGAAGATCAAGCCGTGGATAGAGAGGCCATGATGAACCATCAGCAGTGGCAGACTCAGAACGGTATCGTTTCTTCATGGACTCAATCTTGTTCTTGCACTGGGTTTGAGTTTTGGGGGACTTGGTACAATTGGCACGAGACGAGACATGTTTTGCAACATCTTCCCAATCATGGCCTTTGAGTTTTGCTCTGTTTCTGAGAACCCATTTGGTCTCATAGGCCTCAAGGAGGCTAGAAACTGCTCCTTCACTCCACTCATCTCTTTTTAGCCTGTCACTGCTGCCACCAACACCAAGAGGTTGTTGGGGTTTTGATCTTGGAGACTCTAATTCCTTGGTTGTGGAGGTGTAATTGTTTGGGGGGAGAGATGGGTTTTCTTGGTTAGTTTCGTTGTCCATCTCTCTCTCTCTCTCTCCCTCTCTCTCCTAATGCTTCAATAAGTTTTACCCTTTTGTGGGCTTAAGCTGCTAACATCTTGAAGCCACCAAACAAGTTTAAGCACAAGAAATTGTGAAGAGGGAGGAGAACCACTAGCATTTTAGAGAGAAAAAGAATAATGG